TATAATATATATTATATCATATTTATATTTTATTTAAGCACAAAGATTCATTTTGACTGAATTTAGAATTTTTTTTATTTAATTACATTTATATTGTTGAATGAAAAATTACGACATTGACGTATTGCTAATTGAAGTTTGCTAGAATTTCTCACGTCACAAATAAGATGGCAACGTAATATGATTTATTATGGTTGTTATGAATTAAAGATAAAAGAACACGAATTTCCACGCTCGTTCAAGCATTCAAGTTAATCTTGGATGAGGAACACCGAAATAACTTTTTCAAGAGCGTCCCTTCGTATGTTTGCGCGTGAACGGTCTCATGGCCAGCAAGTTTAAAAATAAACTATATGTGTCACGGATTGTGACCTCCCTCTTTCCCCTTTCCATCCCTAATATTGCCATTTCATCATCCCCTGACTCATTCGTTTGTTTTATTTGGTGCAGACCGTTTACCGGTTGCTACAACAAGTTCTACGAAAAGGGAACGTATACCTGCGTCGTGTGCGATCAAGAACTGTTCTCTTCGGACACCAAATACGACAGCGGATGCGGTTGGCCGGCATTCAACGAGGTTCTGGATCAAGGACGCATCAAATTGACCAAAGACACCTCTCATGGTAAGCGAGCGCTATTACGATTTACCTTCATTAGCGTATCTTTTGTAATTATGCTCGCGTTCTTAGAATTCACACCTCACGTTCATCTGAACATTGCACAATAGTCCGCAGGTACATTCAAATTACTTAGAATAGGATATCTGTATCTCGTAAATAAGTTTTTGATTCTAATATTGTACCTGCTCGCTATTTATATCATCATAATCGCAACGTATATAAGGGATCAACAAAATAATGTAAACACCTGAAACATACTATCCACATTTGTTTTATTAATAAGAATTAGGACTCGTCATTTGTCTTTAATACAAATTCTATATTATTAGAATAGAATCATACATGCTTGAATAGTAGCAACTACTACAGTGCAATATTCTTCTAGTTAGCAAAACGTTTAATTGCTTAAAAGATATTAAGGAAGAAAATATGTTTCTCACTCTGCTCTTCAAAATTATTAATAATATTTGAATCAGTTACTGTTTTTGAAAACAGAACAATTTTAGGAAATAGAGTGAAAAGAAAATTTTCTCCTTCACTCCAAGGATAGAACGTATATTAAAAACAAAAATGATGGGCCAATCTTTAATCAATAAAATAAGTAGAGTATTGCCTAGTAGGTGTTCATTATTTTGTTTTTTTCTATCATAATTGTACACTTGCATAACATTACTGAGCCTATCCTGGTCACATTTCATTCACTTTCTGCACCTATCCAAAGTAGAAGTCTTTATATTGAGTTTCTCATAAGATTCAATTTTCCATAAAATTATCGCAAATTAATTCGTAAAAAGCAAAAATTATGATTATATTGTCACTCACTCCTCGCGCCTTGATGAATGTAAACATTTTCTTGTGTACATAGATATCAGTTTAAAAATATTTCTTATAATAAAAACAGGAACTGTAGTATTCATTTATATGTGATGTATTTTTCTCTACTGTAAATATAATGTTGTATATATTAGCTGAAATTTCCTGTTCTCCTCGGTTCCTGCATGTACTTGCTTAGAGTGTGATTGTGTTAGACTTACATCACTTTTTCTATGAAACTAATACGCCAGCTGTATATTATGAAACATTGGAAATATGATCAATAGGCTAGATACAAATATCTTATCGTGTTAAGAACTGTTTATGAGCATAAAGTTATCGACTGCTCGATAAACATAACATTCTTTCGTTTAGTTTGACTAAGAGTAATAATGTAATAATGTCTTCTTTTTACTCGCAAATCCTTAATGCATAAATCTCATTTTTTAGAAGCATTCGATGCAAATAAAATTCCTTCGCTTTTAAAATATGCCAGTTGAAATAATAATTAATCATTTGTAAGTGTGTTTCAATACTCACAGCTATATGAATTTACAATATTTCTATAACGTAAGTAAATATTTAATAAAGATGAATATGCCGTATAAGTTAAAAAATATATATATTAGTTACAAATATAATGTAGAGGAGATTGTGAGTGTTTTTCAACAAGAAGAAGAATATCATGTAACACAGTAGTGTAAGATTCCGTGCTTTTCAACTATAGCATAAGTCTACACAATCGTACACAGCTAAAATGCTGTATCTGATTGTATCGTCGTTTTAAATCACTTTATGAATACCAAATGTTTATATTTTATTATCATTTATTTTTCTGGTAATGAAATTTTCTGATAAGAGATTTTAAGATTACATTCAGATAAATTTGGACATAGATGTATAAGATCTTTTTCTTTATTTCATTTTGGCGGTGAAATAAAAAAAGCTAAATAACGTTTCAGCAATACTGTGTCACATATGATTGTATTTCGTTGCTGTAAAGTATCCTATCTAGACAAGTTGGGATATACTAATTCTTTTAATATTAACAAGATTTTTAATGTTGACTGCTCAGTTATGTTGCTTTAGTTAAAAAGTTGCTTTAGTTAATATAACTGAGTAGTCAACATTAAAAATCTGTTATTATTAAAAAAATAATTAGTGTAATCCAAGGTACAATATGTCTTTAGATATGCCAGTCTTCCTTATACAGTATGTGAGTGCGTAATTTTCGATATTGTCAAGTAAACGTACTATTGAATTGGAAGCGTATAACAAGCGTGTAACAATTAACAGGCAAAAATTAGATATAAAAAATAAAAATGTATATATTGAATGAAATTGTCATATATGTACGCACTTCTTCATCATTATTCTTTTAGTGTCATATGAATGTTAGCTGTCTTCTCATGATTGATGTATCAATCTTTAATTTGATTTTTTTCTCATTTCAAGATCTTTTTAGATCGCTTCTGTTACTTCTTGAAAATTGTATCCGTGAAAAAAGGGTGTCTGTCTGCGTCTAATCACACTCTATTGTTCTTTCTCCTCTCGTCCTCCCTGATCAATCTCCTGGCTACTACCACCACTGAACCACTTCACTCTCATCACTGAAAAAAAAAACATCACTGAAAATCGCGCATCGCGTCGAATTAAACGACGCCAACTAGTCGGCGGCAATCTACTACTGCTGATCGCAAACCCAGATATGGTGCGGACCGAGGTGACCTGTTCGAAATGTGATGCACACCTGGGGCATGTGTTCAACGACGGACCGAAGCCTACGAGGAAGCGTTTCTGCATCAACTCCGCCTCCATAAGCTTCCACTCGGCGGGAGAGGAGAAATCTACGTAAAATCAGCATGCGCGTTTATTACATTCTATATTTTATTATGTATAATATTTATATAACGAGAATTGTGTTATAAATATCTCGTGTTATAAATATTAAAATATCTTCGTTTTATTTATGTATTGTAAAAAGAAATAAAAGTAATAATAATTATCGTCGAGATAAATAGGCTGTCTGTAAAGTGAGTTTATTATTATAGGGAATATTTAACGTTTTATTACTGCTAACGATGTGCTATTAGCAAACATTTCTACGTTATTTACTACATGCGATTGATTGTAATGTTCGATTGTATATGATTTTCGTAACATATTCGCAAAAATATTCCTTTCTACATTAAAGCGTTATGCAAGTTAAGGAATATACTGTTGATGCTATAAAGCGTTTCCGACTGACATTTCACTCGCGACGAGAAGCTAATTCCATACTATCAGTTCTCTTGAATCTCATTGTGTACTCTCTACTTTCGATATTACAAACGTTACATGTACATATCCATATCAAAGTGTAAAAAGTATAGCACCCACGCAGGATATATGTATATCACAGAGAAAGCGTGACACTGGACAGATGATAGAAATGTCTAATTGAGAGATGTTATTTTTTCAATAAATGCCATAATATGTAAATACCCTACCTATTCTGACTTAATATATTAAATGAGGAACAAAATACAGCAGTCATCATTTCTCTTTCATCGTTCCTCTTACGTAATACCGTTAGGACAGGGTGTTTTGTATGAAGAAGAGAACATGTTTGTTATAAAATGTTTCCTTATATTGTAACGTTTCAAAACAAACTAAAAGGTGTTATAATACAATATACGTAAAATTCTAGGCGTTATTTTTACAATTCATTATTCCCTTTCTATTTTTTTTTGCATTCCCTCGCCTTTTGAAATTTTCAATGGGCATAAAAATTTCACATTTCTTCCTGAGAGACCAGATTTCTGTCGAATGATTTCCGATAGCGATAAATGCTTTTTTTTTCTTACAAAAGTTAAAGGATGAACCTTCCGTCATCAGGGAAGGATCAAAATCGAAGATTTTCTTTTTTTCAATCTGCAGTAAAATAGCGACTTTATTACTATAGGCCTACTTTTTTCTTTCGCTCGGAGATCACAAAGCATTTTCAAAAACATCGTAAAATGCTACAGTAAAACATGCATACACACATTTAACATGATTCGCGTATTAGGAACCTATTTTTAAAAATCTAAAATGACGATAAAAATATACACGCACATAGCGGATTATTAAATGCAATTGGAACGATCATCAAGATATGGATATGCGCAAACGGATGCAAAGTTGCCAGCATTTTCGCGTTATATTAAAAGATTCGCCTGCCCGTATTTTTCTCAGAGCTTCTCGTATATTTTTCTATACGTTTGCGATGCGTTTCTATTCGTTTGTCAATGTCAAAAATAATGAGTACTTTCGTAGTGCATCACTTATTATTATTACGATAAGGCATGTCTGGTACAATTTTTGTACTTTTGTTCGCACGATAAAAGGATCATACTGTTATCACAGCGAACGTGTCTACATGCTAAAATGCGCTTCAATCGGGTTGTGCATCGATAGGGGTAATAATTTTTTGTACAGGCAGTTTTGCATCTCGCGCGATCTGATTTGCAAATAAAAAAAAAATTATAAATGTTAACTGCTAATAACTGTGCTGTTAAAATAATTATCGCGAAAAAAATAACGGAAATATGAAAGTCCTTAGTAAACACCAAAAAAACTCAACAATATAACTTATGTAACACAAGTATTACATTATGTTGTTGAGTTTGAAACTGTAACATTGATGTTATATTACTTTAATTGATGTTGAGTCTCTATCGCTCCGAGATATTTGTGAAAATGCAGGACTCCGCGTCTTTTAATGTTTCTGATCGTTAACTTTAACCCTGGATCGCACCATTATCTTTTTTTTTACACATTCATACTTTTCTTTCATTAATACTAAGACGTGCGCAAGTTATTTTGTCTCTTAACTTGTCATAATTAGACCGATTTTAGAGATGGAAGTCGAAGCAGAGATTAATGCTGAGCAATATTTGTAATACACATTCGCGGAATACTGAAGAAGCACGAATTTATAATTTATATACTCTATTTCATAATCCCTGATTCTGTTTAAAGATGCGTTGCATTAAGTTCCTTCGATATACCAGCCCTAAATTCGGTCATAAGCGTTGATACAAACTGAGCTGCTTCTTCTTTCTAACTTGATCAAGTACAGTCAGACATTATAAAAATCTAATCAGGCTTCTTTCAAAAAATGATACTACAAAAAAAAGGAGAAGAAAACAATAAAACAACCTCGTCGAATATTGAATATATCTTATCATATGATTTCTCGTTATCAAATAATATACGGGTTTCTTCTTCTTTTCTTGTTCTTGTTTCGTACGCAATATAAGTATATCGTTAATTTCTCGATTTATAACTATCATATTTATATTCTCACAAAGTCTGAGTTAATATTAATTTATATATGAGTCCTATACATATATGTATAACGAAAAATCTCGATCGATCTATCCATCCACCGCGCGAAAATTGGAAATGTGTAGCTCTCGCAAACTCTTAAAAGGGAAAAAGAATAACATCGAAATCAGAATTAATTATTCATCCGAAATAGAATGCGAATATTCTAGATGTTTTTTTCTCAATCTCGACATATCTTTTTCCTGCTATTTGTGAATATAGCTCTCTCACACAGTTCTAACATCCTAAATTCTTACACTTGAGATAGAAAGCACAGACTAGTACGAGTCAATTTATAGTTGAAATTTACAGAACAAATTTTTCTTTTTCTTCTTTAGATAAGTAGACTCTGCGTGTATCGAAGAAATTAATCAACCACAATATAATGAAATCAATGAAAACATTTAAAATGTTTTAAGTAAATACAAATTTGTTAAAAATAATTGCGAAAAGCGTACAGAAAGAAAAAATTTGCTATAAATGCTAATCCTATGCCATGACGGTAAATTTATTGCATATATAAGGATTAATTATTTACAGGAAAGAATAAACAAATGTTTATTTTTTCTTGTACTCGCTAACAAAAATTGCAACAATTGCAAAATATTTGTCAAATATACAAATTTGTTATAAACACAAACAATTTGACAATTAAATTTTGTAATCCCTTTGCGTTTTTAGTAAATTTTTTTCTGTGCGATAATTCAGAAATTTTTATAAATTTTAGATTCACACTCAATGACTTTTCTGATAAAAACAAGAATTGAGAATCTTAAGATTACAAATCCCGAGATAATATGACTAACTAAATAATCATGATGTTTCTTAAAAGAAAATCCAATTTGCAATCGTTGCTTATTTTGTGGCCACACAAAGATGACTTAACTCATTATCTTGTTCTATTGATATGTTATGCTAAAAAATATTATATTTTACATACAGAACAGTAAGGAATTAAAAATTTACATATTCTGATTGGCTTGTATTAATTCATTTTTTCCATCTTTCATCTTAATCAAAGACTATCACTTCTTTCATTTTTTTTCTTTCATTTTTAGTTTCGCCCAGTGGATGTCCTGATTGAATAATGGAATATGTAAAATAAAAAGAATAAAAAAAAACAAGATACGAAAATCTACGAGTCATGATATCGCCTAAAATAACTAAATACTTCCAATATATTCATTTTTCGATGACACGATGACATTCGGATGACATATAATACAACATTAGGAAAAACGTATCTCGATAATGTTCGATGCAAATACAACCATACAGAACCACAATTCGTTCTACACAAAACGTCAATTAAACTCCAATATACATATGCGTACATATTCGATTATTTGTTTCTTCCTTGTCACGGTGCTAAAACGAAATATTACATATCGTTATACAGTGGTTCATAAGAAATCTAGCGCGAGTTTTCTTTTTTTTTCTTCACGTCTCTAAACGACAAGACAGGCACTTTATAGTGTCACAAAATGCTCCTACGTCTGAACCTTGTTTTACAGTTTCATTGATCTTTCGTTCTCCTTCTTTTTTACAAGACACGTTAAGAACCATTATATTGGACTTACAGCGAAGAACACACGTGATGTGGACAAGCGTCCTCGGAGACATGTTCTTATCAACTAAGTAGTAAACCATGATAGTAAGTTCAATGTCTTAAGGTGTCTTTCATTCGCTCTTTTCTTCTCTTTAATGATATAAATGAGGGAAAGTATTCATCTCTTCGTCGTAAAGCTTTAAATTAGCGGCTTCAAACGAGATATGCATTTTTTACGCGATTGGCTAGAGCACGTGTGAACCAATTTCTTTACATTGAATGCCAACATAAAAAAATTACGATATTTGTAAACGAGGAATTTGTTCAAACAGTTTCTCTTTTAATACAAGAAAACTGAATCAACAATGAATCAGATATTCAGCGATTCAGAATGCGATTCTCTTAAAAACGTTTAAAACAAATTAGGCTACCACTTACACATCTATCGTCGCATTAATTAGATAAAACACACTGAAAACATATTGCTCTGCTTCATCATAACTTCCGTCGAAAAATACAAGTCCGACACGAAGATCAATCTCCTTTCTCTCTCTCTCTCTCTCTCTACGATCTCTTATTAAACAATAATATTAGAATAGGTCCTATGTATACTTGTTCACATTTCTTTGTGGTATTATCTAATAAGGTTCTCGCTATAAATAATATGCGTTTTTTTTTTGCTAACTTCAATCCTTTGAATTTTTTCTTGCTCTTTTTAGAGTTAGTAATACTAGTTTTATATTTTTAGAAAATAACTGACAATTGCTTGTGTTTCCTCGATGACAATCCATCCGAATTGCGGCAAAAGCACGTCACAGGCAACAGTAGATACGGTAAAGCACATACGCATTCCATTTTGTCTCTTTCTTTTTCTATTTCCTTCAAAAACTAAGTTAAGACTTTGTGAGTCCATTGCACTCAATTGTAATTATGGATTTTATCGAGGAAAACAAGGCTTCTGCCGTCAGATCGCTCATAGCTTTTTTCTGATTTAACTTTGTGTTTGTGCTCGCAACGTGCGAGAATCGAGCGTTTCTTTTTTTAAAAACTCTTTGCGATCATTTTTCCGATACTTCATCACGGTATCGAATAAGTTCTATCTATCTATCTATATGATCTATATGCGTACGTAATAGATATATGCATGCATATATGTATATATATGACATATAATATTCGCATATGATATACACATATGTATGCATATATATATATATACGTTTATATTCATTATTTTTATATATTATTGAATTATTGTGCCGTTTCCGTTTTGGGAGGGTGATTTCATTATTTCCTTCTTTTCCTCTGCATAATCGTACTCTTGGAGTCACGTCTTATAAATCTACAATCTAAACGCCACTGTATCTCTTAATGACCTTTGGCAGCTTCCTTCGCCGCCATTATCAAAGGTGTTAACGAAGCTAGTGGCCTTGCTAATTTCAAAAAAGGATGCTGCAATGCAATTTAAATACATGTTTCCGATTAAATCAATTTAAAGGAATTAGTAGGAATATGCATATATATGTCAGGAATATGCATATATATTTTCGCGTTTATTAACGAAAAAAAATTTTCTTACCTTTAATAATTCGGAAGCTGCAGACCGTTTCTCTACCTCGACTTCTAAACACTGGTCCAGGAAGTCTTGGAATATACCCGATAGTTTATCCTTTTCCTTGATTTCCGGTTTACCATTTGTCGCAATCAAATACAACGCTCTCAGTGGATTTTCGTTCAAATACGGCGGCTCTCCTTCGATCATCTCGATTGCCATTATTCCCAACGACCATATATCAACCTATGAAGATACATTATTACGATTAATAATGTAATACATAGTCAATTCACTTTTTAGTGTGATTACTGATCTTGTAAAAAAATTCGCTGAGAATTTTTGAATTTTTTAGGCATTTTTGTGCAAATTCCAGGTAAGAGTAGGTAATTTTTTAAATGCAATTTTGAAATAAATTGGAATGAAAGTAATGCAAACATATTAAAAATTAATAGAAAAAAAGGATTCCACGAGACTATATCATTGTTTACAATTGAAAAACCTATAAGATAGTCTAAGAAAGGGTCGCTACAATATAATATCAGTGAGCTCCATTCTATTGAGTACTGTCTTTTACTGTTACTTTTTAGATAAAAACTTACACATGAAAATGTAAGCGTGAATATATGCGGATACACATGCTATATATTATTATTAATTCAACATTTTCCATTATTAAAAAATAATATTTTCGGAAACAGATGAAATTAGAATAAGTAAAATTTCAGAAATTTTTCTGAATACCGAAAAAATTCCATGAAAATCTTTGATTTCGGAAATGTTTAAATTTTTTTTAATAAAAATGAATCTCCTGAAAATTCTAGATTTTTCTAAGTAGTAAAAATCTTGTTATATAACAATCGATATATATATCTACCTTAGGTCCATATTGCTTTCGCGTTACTACTTCCGGCGCCATCCAATACGGCGTGCCAACCATCGTCGTTCTTTTGCTCTGTTCCGGTGATATTTGCGCGCAAAAGCCAAAGTCCGTTAACTTAACCCCACCATCAAGACCCAACAGAATATTATCAGATTTGATGTCTCTATGTATAACTTGATTACAATGAAGGAACTCGAGCGCCTGTAGTACTTCTCTGCACACCGCGGCAATTTGACCTTCGTCCATGCAAGTCTCAGTCACAACATCCGTTAAACTGCCACCTGGCAAATATTCCATGACTACCCACAATTCTTCTCCGACTAAATAACTATCCAAGTAATTTACAACATTCGGATGCTTGTTCTCCCGCATTACTAAAATCTCATTTATTATAAGTTCTTTCTTTGGCTGTTGCGACAGATTCATTTGTTTTATTGCAACTTCCATGCCGGTTGACGTTTCTATTGCTGTGTACACTGTCCCCGAGGCACTGCAAGATGATCGTTAATTAGTACTGATCAATACAGTTTTAGATTCAAGAAATCATTTATCGATCCATGCCCTTACCCTTGTCCTATTTTTTCCATTTTCGTATATTTTCTATTAGGATCTCCCACGCTCACGATTGTTCTAAGTTTCTCTAATATCTCATCGTCTGACATCTTCTTCTTTCTAGCTTTATCGCCTTGCGTTGGTCGCGTCTGATCAGTTGTTGTTGACGTCGGCGTTGCTTGATTCTTATTTCTATCTAATTGCGACTGGTGTTGTTGTTGCTGCATGCCATTTCGTTGTGGCGAGCCCAGCGTGGTCGTCAAGGGTGGCGGTGGTTCCTCTTCTATAGGTTTTGTATACTGCATGATGAAAGTAAAATGTTCCAAATAGTAAAATGCCACAAATAACGAACTAATCAAACGCGCATCTCTTAATCGCGTTCAAGTGCGAAGAAAAAACTTACGATCGATTTCGTGCGTTCCGGTCGGGCGGAGATGGGCGGAGGTGGTGGCTCGTCCTCCTGCTCCGAGCTAGTTGCACACGCGTCTGTTGGAGTGCTACTTGGGCTACTGCTACTCACCCTATAACGTTGCCGTTTCTCAGAAAATATTTAGGCGACCATAGGACAAGAGCAACGCGTAAAAGTGTAAAAGACTCACCTGCTTAACGAATGCTGAGAGTGGGAGCTACCGGATGCCTGCGACATCGCCTGTCCGCGAATATTTCCCACTCCTGTGCCGATACTCATTCCCATACTTCGCGGACTACTCGCTCTTTCGATTGGAGCTGAAAAATTATTATCGTTAATTAAGATGATTATCATAATTTCATGGAAATCAAATTATTTTTTATAATATAAATTATAAGTAATTAATATCAAAACTTACCAACAACTCCGACCATTTTAGTTGTGGTCATGTACTTAGAGCCTTTTGCTTCTTTACTGCTACTATCGTACCAATTTAACACATCCAATACAGCTTGCGGATTTTTTTTCTGTTCCTGCTTGCTGATATTGCTGGACATAAGTAATCTTGCCCACGCCTCCGGCATACCCTAAGAAATAAACATGTACTGTTAAATAATGATTATCATGTTAACTAATGATTTACCATGAAATAGACAGATGGTAAGTAATTCGGTGAGTTTGATAAGATAACACTAGTTTATTAAAATACATCTAATGTAATCCTAGATTTGATTTTCGAACATGCAACTATTACGAGTAGAAAAACAAAGATCGGAAAAACGTTTCTGTATCATGTTATTTGTAGATATTAACAATAGAATAAGGAATTTCAATCATGTTATATAAACAAATTCATATTTGTTTAATCACATAAGAAATTAGTTTAGAATTCTTGAAAAATATTTGACAACTCCCTTCTATGAATTATTAATTTTTGTATGGAAAGAAATTGAAAATATTTTAAACTTTGATTAGCTCTTTGAATATGTATATGTAAAAGATGAAATTTTAAAGATTCAATCTATTCAAAACTATTTAATTTTCTAAGATTTTTATCTGAATATATATACATGCACAGAATTTGAATTTTAAGTTAAAATAATTTATAAACAGAATTTCTAAATATAATTTCCATCTACTGTCGAGAATCATTCTATAAGAAAGAAATGAATATTGTTGTATGCAACGTCGACTAAAGCTTATATCAATCTACAAAAGCAACTATATATTGAAAAAATGTATTCATAAATGAAAAATAAACATCTAAATCTGATAAAAACCGCAACGAAAAGAAAGTGTCAAACCACGTGGTGTAAATGTATATACAACATAAAATACAGGCAAACTTAATATTAATTTACTTACTTTCAGTGGCAGCTTGGAAAGAAATACGTGTTTTGTTAGTTTAGTCATGTGGAAATAATAAAGTATAAGAAGCGTTGGACAAATTACCAAAGTACCGTACTCGAAATGTTCAATGTGAACTAGTGTCTTATATTTCATTTTGATCAGGCACGGAAGATCTATATGACGTGTATATGTGTGTGTGTGTGTGTGTGTGTGTGTGTGTGTGCGCGCGCGCGTGCGTATTTACATATACACGCGCGCGCGCGCACAAATACACACATACACACACACACAGAAAAGGTGCCAAGAATAATTTACAATAATATATAAAATTTGTAAAATAATAATAAAAAACTTGATAACATAAAAAATTTTTCATTGTTTTCCATCGTCTCTTCCATAGATGATCCGCACCATGATACAACAGCGAAGCATTAAGCGAGTGCACTTGACAATAGGTGTTTAAAGTGATTGTGCAAATCGCAAGACGCAGGAACCTACCGTGAATTCACCGGTTACAGCATCGAACCCGACGTGAACGGTGTGCTCGAAGTTCGTGGGATAACTGATGTTGGGCTTGTCCTTATTCTCCTTCACCTTCATCTTGCTCTTCAGAGTCTTCTTTTTGCGCTCATCAGAATCCGGCTCCTTAGGCAGTGGACGCATATCCACTGGTAGATTAGGCGCTGATTCCCCCCTAAAAATGCAAATGATATTAACAGATTAATCACAGTTATAATATAATATGATTATATATACAATTATATTATTATAATTGTATACATAATCATACTTATATGATTTTTTATAGAGAATTTTTTAATTAAACATAATTAAAAATAACTATATCTTATTACAAATAAATATTTTTCTTGGTAATTATAACTTATAATTATCTTATATATCACAAATTTCCATGGTAAAACTTGTAAAGAAAGAGAATTTCTCTTGTTACTGTAACTTGTAAAACTGGCTTATATCACAAAATTCTATGACAAAACTTAAAGAAATAGATACAAATAAAATTAAAAACTAAGAATACTTTTGCTGTCATAAGTATCATGGAATACATGTAAATTTGATGTGTAGATATATTTAGATGTTCTGACAGTTTGCAGTCTCTCAAATCTTGGGGACAACGTCGGGATTATGTCTAGACATCTTTAATGATGGTCTCCCACAACAGAAAGCTACCAAGAGATATTTTTAGCAGCCCATAGCTTAATGCCTCTCTATTTTTGGAGAATACACACTTTTGTTACGGAAAACACAAAAGTTATGACAATTTGTACTATTATTTACAATATTATGGATTACATACTAGAACAAAAAAATTTATTTCAATTATCTATATAAATTATTGTGAACTTTATAAAACACTGTAATAATTTTGACACATCAACTATGCTGCGAAATCAATTGCTATCTCAATAATCTTTTTTTGAACATAAACATGAATATAAATAAATTTAGTATATAAATCTTGTAGAAATGAGATTGACACTCTATAATATCCAATTCTCTTTTGACAGATCAATCAGCGATGCCACAGATCACACTAGGTAGATAATAACGCGTACCTGTTTGATGTCAATCGAACAGGGGGTGCAGGGGGTTTGTCCTCCTCATCTGACATGTTGTATCCGCTTCTGGTTCTTTGTTGCCAGTCTATCTCCTGTTGCTGCGTCTCTGTGCCTTTAATCGAAGTCGCGTTTCGTCAATGCGTGTACGTCTATATAAATATACTTATATATAATCGCGCCTTCGTTCCGTTGAGACTTTCACTTTCAACACCGTTATCTCCTCAAGGAAGAGGCTCCTCTCTGGGTCCGTCGTCGACAACGACGATGTCGTTGCCCAGTCCTGGTAATAATCGCGAGATTCCTCGGAAGGCACACCCCGGCAGGTGGAGAGTCGCAGATGGAAGTTCTCTCACCGCGCCGCGAGAACAGCCTTCATCACAGAACACCGGATACCGGCTGCGGAATCCGTACGAGACGAATCATGGCGATCAAGAGTGTTGGAGCGAGGATCGAAGCGACTCGGTGGCTTCCTCGTGGATGTCGCTCTCCTTAATCGGCACCGAGAGACGCCACTGGTCTTAGGCTAACTGAGACTAACAGCTATGTCTAGCTGGCTTGGAGCCCACCGTTTTCCCCAGTTCTTCCTCGATCGGGGTGGCTGTTGATGCTGCTGGTGGTCTGGTTATCCGTCAGTGGTGATGTCTGACGACGACACGACACACGGGTCAATGTCGCAGCGAGCACACACGGGGCGCACTCGAGGACGACAGAAGAGAGCGAAGAGAGAGAGAAAGAGAGTGAGAGCGTTTCTAAAGCGTGATTCACGCACGGGTGCAGGCACCCCGCATCCGTAGGATCTTACACCTCGTTTTCCCTCTCCCTCATTCACTTTCTCTTTCTCTCTCTCTTGCTTTTCTCCAGTTACCTATCTTGCTCTCTCGCTCGCTCGTTCGCTCTCGCGCGTGCGCCCTTTCTCTTGCTTTCCTTTTCTTTCTTTCTCTCTTTCGACTTTATACACTCCCTCGCGACGACGATGACTGATGAGGACTCCTATCATGTCGCGCTCACTTCTGCTTGATCGTGAAAGAAAAAGCATGATAACAGAAGAATAGGAACGGAGGATACATGATGACTAATGGTGGATCTAGAATATTTAGATATAAGGATTACTGGAATATATTAATTATATTTCTTCGAAATCTTAAATAATTAAAAAAAATATTTTTCGAAAAATTTTTTTTATAATGCTGGACTGCAATACAGGAATTTGGTTCCTCGACGACGCCGCTTTATTCATACGTTAATGATCTCTCTCTTTTTTACAAGAACCTCCTCTCTTTCTCTCTCATTCTCTCTCTCTTTAACTTCAATGCACTTTAATGCTCCAGTCCGTTCTTTCTCCATATTTTTCTGTTTTCTTTAATTCCTTTCGCTTACGTCAAATTCGAGATTCCATGCAATTCAAGGAAAGGATTAGAAAAAATTGTAAAAGCTTTCTCCATCATTCCTCTCTCTCTCTCCCTCTCTCTCTCTCTCTCTCTCTCTCTCTCTTTCTCTCTCGCTTAAAATTTATCACACACAAAATGACATAAAGGTATATATTTTATACATTTTCACAGATCATTCAAATCAAATAGGTCGTCAACACAACAAATAACATGTTTAATTTGCTGACTTGACCCGATTTCGAATCAATCTGTTCTTTTTGCAGAAGAAGAGCTAAACTGTACGAGAAATGCAGTTAAAAAGAACAGACTTGGATGAAGTTAAAGCCCGAAAAGTTGGACAAAATTCCAAATAAAAAATAAATAAACATAAGTTGATTCAAAGACTCTTTAATAATCTGCTTTTTTTTAAATAAATAAATAATAAATTCCATTTAAATAAAAATAGATTTTTTACAATACCGTGTATCCAAATACGATAAACGCTAAAGTCATCTTATTTAAATGGTTAGTTTATCGAATCTATAATAGATTTTTAAGTCATAAGAAAAGAACGAATCAATTATTTTCCTCGCATTCGATCAGTAATTGATCAATTTCTTAAGGCTCAAAACACCTATTATATAGATTCGGACACCATGTAAGTATATAAACCAATCATATTCAAGAATTTTACAACAGTTACAGAGTTACTTTCTCTGCTGAACACAGCTATTTATTATCACGTACTTTGGCTATAGTCAAAGTCTCGCTACAAATGTTTTGAAGCATTTGATGGACTAATTAGAAGAAAGAATTTTACAAACTGACCAATTAAAAAACGCTTCAAAGCGTTTGCAGCATCGCGTTAATCGTATCCTTTGTTTTAATGCTAAAAATGAACGTTGAGCTTCAACATGAAAAGGTATCTTTAGCCCAAATCCTCATGCAGACATCGGTGCTCTACACCGAGCATTGATTGGCGAATAATTTACCAAAATTTACCTTTATCATTTTCTACCAATCACGCTCGATGTCAAAAGCATCTGTATGAGGATCGAGCTTAACTGTTTAAAGCAAGTTTAATGCATTGTGAGCATGCGCACTTCCCATCATTCTTTCTCCCTCTTTCTTTCTTTGGTTTTCTCTCTTGCGTGATCCGTGGTCGCGTAAATTTTCGTGGGTCCCCGGAGGAGCAGCATCGGATGGCGATCTTGTACGTTTCGTTCGCGCGACCCCATCATTAAACGTATCTCGCATTATCTCATCGTATCACTCGGATAATCATCGTAAGTTTCGCATTTACTCGTAATATCGATGATACTTTTCGCGCGTACCGGCTTTCGTTGAAAGAGAAAGAGACAGAGAGAGAAAGAGAGTGGCGCGACGAGCTTCCTCCATGTAACCCGCCGTAACCACGTGCTTGAAAATATTGTCTATCGGATCGGCTCGCGTGTAATTATCTGTAAGTATCCTCGAATCACCGAAACGCGAAATCAGCCGCGTTCGGACGTTCTGCTCCAGGACTCCGGTATTGTCCAGGCTCCCTTTCCTTTCGTCACCGTTAACATGCTGAAATAACGTTGGCTGCTTCCAGAGCGCGCGATAAGACATTGAGAATATTCTGTCGCGTCCGAACAGAGGCATGTCAAAATGACGGAGTTCGTGGACGGCTGGTTCCTGGGTCATACCTTGGGCGAGGGTGCCTACGGCGAGTACGTCTTTCCATTTTTTTCGTCCTTTGTTAAACCTTTGTTAAGCAAAGATCTACGCGCTTCTGTATTCTCCCATGGCAGATATTCGGTCGTGATTTTCGAGATCCATTGTTCCTATTGTTCGGAGCACGTTGTTGAAATACTCGTGTCCGTTTCTACCAATATAATTTAAATTTTAATTTCTATTTATGTAATTTACTTTTGCTGATTCTAAGAACGGGATAAAAAATAAATTAAGAGTCAAAATTAAAGTTAATCTACATTAGTAAATTTTAATCTTTGTTTAATTTATAATTTTTATCCTTTTTTTTTAGTTTCAAACTTTAGAAAAAAATGAAGAACAAATTAAACCGCGATTAAAGTTAATTTATATTGAGAGAGTAATTTTAATTTCTGTTTAGCTTAATTTTGAGAAAATTAAAAAAAGGTAAAAAAGAAATTAAATTAAGATTAAAGCTAATCTACATTGGTAGAAATAGACATCAGTTAGTTTCCAGTATAGAATTTTTTTGTTAATATATCATTACCATTTCCATTCATAATTTTTTATAAACAAATTCTTTTTTTATATTTAAGAAAAAGTGGAACAATTATAGAAAATAATTTAAGTATGTTGTTGGGATTTTATAATTTGATATTTTTTGTACAGGGTTAAACTAGTTGTAAATAAATCTACAGGCGAAGCTGTTGCTATGAAAATGATTGACATTGAGAAACATTCGGACGCGAGACAAACAGTCCGCAAGGAAACTGCTATTCATCGTATGTTGTCAAACTCTAACATTATACAATATTTTGGAAAACGTAGCGAGTCTAATATGGAATATATATTTCTTGAATATGCCTCAGGTGGAGAGCTATTTGATAGAATTGGTAAGATACAACTGAAGTAAAATAATACATTGTAAAATAATACTCTATAAAATAATACTGAAATATATAGAGCCCTTATTAGATTGAATTGAAATTTTCACGATTAAAAGAAGAAAGTCAATATAATGAACTTTGCTTTAATTGGTCAAATTCTAATCCAATCTTAATCTAGTAGGACATAAAATCGTGATTAAACCAGAGAATCTTAAACCATGATTAAAATTAGAAACTGGAATTGAGATTAGATTGGAATTTAACTGATCAAAGTTTGAGGTTTTCTCTTTTTATTGATTGAATTCCAATCTAATCTCAATTCCAGTTTCTAATTTTAATCATGGTTTAAGAAAATTATAAAAATGAAAGACTAAATTTTATTACAGAACCTGATATCGGTATGCCGATGTGGGGAGCTCAGAAGTATTTTAGACAATTAATTTATGGCGTGGAGTATCTACATAGTCGCGGAGTTGCGCATAGAGATCTCAAACCAGAGAATTTACTTTTAGATAATAATGATAATTTAAAGATAAGTGACTTTGGATTAGCAACGATATATCGTATGCAAGGTAAAGAACGTCTTTTGGAAAAGAAATGTGGTACTCTGCCTTACGTTGCACCAGAAGTGCTGGTAAGAGCGTATCACGCAGAACCTGCAGACATATGGTCTTGTGGAATTATTCTCGTGGCTTTGTTGGCTGGAGGTAAATGCCCCCTGTAAAATTGCATACGTGAAATATTAAAAAATTGCTTCATCTGTCTTTGATAATCTTCATGTTAATCTTATGAATAAATATATGCATAATTTATTAATTTTACTTCACATTGAAACTTGTGATTGTCGGTTGAAAACTACAAAGAAATTTTAACATTCAGTCAATGTGCCTTTGATTTGAAATTTATTGAATATCTAATACTTAACTTACATTCCTTAGTTTTTAACTGGTCCATATCTGAAATATAGAACTGCCATGGGACCAACCCTTGGCAGAGTGTCCTGAATATATTGCATGGAAAAACGGAAAATATATGTCTCTTACACCGTGGAAAAAACTGGACAATTCGTCGTTATCATTAATAAGAAAAATTCTTATGGACTCGTCATCGGCAAGATACAAAATATCAGACATTAAGCAACATAGATGGTTTGTCACGAGTTTTGCCAAAGGTAAAACTGCATTTTGGATCGGTACTGTTAGAAAAATAGGTTCAATACCTAGCATAGGTTCCTACATTTTTAAAAATTAATATCCCTAGAAGATTAACATTGGAGGCACCTGGATAGTATTTACTTAGTCAGGTACTGAGTGACTCTGAGTATTAATAAAATTACTCAAAGGAACTCGGTACCTAATTTAGTGGATACTGTATACAACGAATTCTTATTGCTTTTTTACGTGAGTGCTTTATTAATATTAATTAATAGGATTAGAAAGCATTAACAACACAGATTTTTGTAGTCAGCAGAGCTCTTGCCTTTTCTTTGGTAATACAGCTCTATGAGTTTAATTTAAGTATCATAAAGCTAGATTACCAAAGCAGAGAGCATTGGCATATACTTCTAAGATAACACATGTAAAT